AAGTCCAAATCTTTTTTCGCACTCGTCGCAGACGTAATCTTTACGACCTTCATGTACTAAACTTTGGTGCCTGATTAAGTTTTTTTTTAGTCCGAATTTCCACTTGCATTTGTCGCATGCATAATCTTTACAACCATCATGTACTGTTTTTTGGTGTATGAGCAAATTATATTTCATCCCGAATTTTTTTCCGCACTTATCGCAAGCACAATCTTTCCGACCTTCGTGTACTGTTTCTTTGTGTCTGACCAATTTCTGTTTGAGTCCAAATTTCTTTTCACACTTGTCACAAGCGAAATCTTTCCGACCTTCATGTACTAAACTTTGATGCCTGATTAAGTCTATTTTTAGTCCGAATTTCCGCTGGCATTTGTTGCATTCAAAATCTTTGCGACCCTCATGGACTGTCTTTATGTGCAAGAGCAATCTCTGTTTATTTCCAAATCTCTTGGCGCATCTTTCACACAAGTAATCTTTAAAAACTTCGTGAAATATTTTATTGTGCTTGAGTAAAGTTGATTTATTTTCAAATTTCCTTTCGCACTTGTTGCAACTCAAATTTTTCCGATCTTTGTGTACTGATATTTGGTGTCTACTCAAATGACTTCGGAACTCAAATTTTTTCTCGCACTTGTCACATGCGTAATTTTTTTCGTCATTATGAATTGTGTCTCGGTGTATCATCATATTTGATTCTAGTGTAAATGCATTAGGCCCAATACCACAAACATATTGTTTGTTATCTGAAACAACAATGTCATGTTCACTCGAATTATTTCCCGAGATAAATTCCTCGGATTTCTTTTCACTTTTATCCATTTTAGGGTATGAATTAAGCAATAGATCCTTATCTTTAGTAGCACGACAATTGAACGAGTAAAATTTATCTTTTGGTATTAATTATTTGTTACATCGAGAAAGACAACATTCAAACTAATTTGTTTTCGCTGTAAACATGATCAGTAATAAGTTGTTTTCACTATAAACATCATAGCATAACGATATCAAAATTGTTTATGATCATGATGTTTACATTTGTATTACGGTTTTATCCATTCATACATTTTGCTTTTAATATTTGGATCAGTTTAAAATTCAAATTTGGCGACGATTTTCCCCAAAAAATTCTTGATTATTATATTGATTTGTTTATCCTTATACAATATTATATTATATATTATAAAAAAAATTGTGAACGAAGGTGACATACACGCAGATAGACATTTTCAGCATCAATCACTCATTACAGCTTAATAAACTATGAAATTTAATGTACTCGCCAAGAAGACTTATCAAAAATGTTTATGTATAATCAGTCTATATTTAAAATCAGTTTGACTTTAGTAAATGAATAAATTTGAAGAAAAATGGAGCTCATTCTCCATTTTAAGCTAATAGGTGTTGAACTCTCAATTTTATGTCAATTTTATAATACTCTAAGTCTATCAAAACTGAAATGTCTCAAAACTATTTACATTTTTTTCATACATCAATTTATATTGAAGAAGGATTATGAACCGTCCTAATATCCACAAAAATCAAACATATTGTATAATATTTTCTCTAGATTTATAGTACTGCAAAGTTTTCTAGCTAAACACCTTAGACAATAACGTCGTATCAAATTAATGGTTTCAATTCTATATGATTTCGACCACTTCTTCCACGACTTGAAAAGAAAAAAATTAACAAGAGATTAAAGAAATGATTCATCGTAAATCATCACTCTGAGGTATTTATCTCTACGAAACAGTCGTTGCATCGATCAAGTTGTAATAATTTTTAAATTGACAATATATTTCCGTAACGAACCTCTACCAATACTCGTATACAGCACGATATATGCAAAGAACAAAGTGCAATATTGCGGTCGCACACACTTGCACATAAGTTTATACATGTAGGCGTGTACCACCAGAGAGCAAGAAAGGAGCAGCATTAGAAGAAAGAGCTACATAAGGGCGCGTACCCAAAGAGAGAGAGAGAGAGAGAGAGAGAGAGAGAGAGGTGTATATACGTTGTACACAGTACGTGCGTGCAAACCCAATTTGTGAATTTCCACTGGGCTGCTGCTGCTGCTGCCGCTGCCGCTGGTGTGGCCGTGTTGCACTTTGGGGAAGGCGAGAAGAATTTATTACGTGACCTCCCTAAGAATATCGTCCCGCAGGGAATTTGCAGGGAGTCGCCGCGCGACGGATGCGAATTGCTCTCGCACAGCGCCACAGAGCCACTAGCTAGCTAGCTATATCTTCGGGCTGCGCCGTGTGTTATATGCACGGCAAGAAAGAGAGAGAGAGAGAAACGCTCGAGCTTTTTACTGGCTTATTCTTTTCTTATATATAACAACGCGGATATACGTGCGGTACACCTTTATATTCTTTGCAACAAGAGAGAGAGAGAGAGAGAGAGAGAGAGCAGAAAAAAAACGGATGAATTTAGCTCGATGAAGTCCGCTCGCAAATTCTATGGTCCATGGCGCGCGCCCCCGCGAGATAGATAGGTGGATAGATAAAGAGAGAAAGACGAGAGAAAAATGAGAAAAGATGTGCAAACAAACTGCGAATGGAAATTCAAGATTGCGCCTCCGCTATAGTGCGCCGTTGATTTTGATGAAGTATTCATGCGTGGGGCTCTCTTCTCTCTCTTCTCTCTTAATATCAATTTCATTTCGAATCGATTGAAAATTTTTCTTTCCTTTCTCCTGTTTTTTTTTTTTTTTTTTTCATCATTAATTCCACGCGCGTCCGGCGCGCACCGCCGCGGCGTACAGCGGCTCTCGAATTGTTTTTTCATGAGGCGTTTATATGCTATATCTATGTAGGTATCGAGAGATATATACCGTGCACTTTGGCAGTTCTGTATCATTCGATGGATGTTTTATAGATATATATGTATGTATATATTGTGCGACTAGTCTGTATACGTCGACGATCGACCGCTCCGAGCCACGGTGTATTTGCCTATGACTGATGGATGTAATCTCGGGAAATGTAAATTTACCCAAGGCCTGCATTGAGTATCGTAACACGAGATTTCGGAATTTCAAGTTCGAGTGCATGTACAACATTGAATCTCCAAACATTTGTGTGTGCGTGTGCGCGTGTGTTGTTTGTTAAAAGAGTCGTGAGAGCGAGGGAAGCGGGTTTGAGATAGAGAGCAATGTAAAATCCCATGACTTACATATAATTCTCTCTAAATATAAGATAGGTATGTAGAGGCGAGAGTTAGCTCCACCCAGGCGATGCGTTACGCATCGTCGAGTGACATATACATGTACTTGTGTATGTAATGGGTATAACAGAGTGACAAGAGAGGCGCGCGACTTTTGGGAGAGAAAAATAATGTGAACCCCCGCGCGCGAGCTAGCTCGTGTCTCCTCATTGATTTCGTAGTTGTATGTGCCGAAGATACGTCAATGATTACGCCACTCATTATACTGTATTATAGTTAGTGCTATTCGACGACAAATGACTTTTTTTTATTATCTGTGGGGAAAATGCGACGATATTATGAAGAATTAATTTGACATTTTATGCAAGATACACCTTCAGCAAAAATCTTCATTTCATGATTTGTATGGCCAACAAAACCGTCCAGATTGATGAATATTATAGATAGATTGGTTCAAAACATTATGGTTTTTATTATAAAAAGTTTATTGATTTTTTTAAAACTTGATCGTTTATTTAAGCAGTGAGATGGATCACATAGTGATCCAAAATATAATAATTATTGTTTTTTTACAAAATTTCAATGTACATTTTATACATTCATTGGGTGGTAATACACGAGTGATGAGCTATTTCGATGACAGTTTTATGGCTACTCATTTGTCTCGATGTTTTTTTATTTTGCTTAGTATTGATAAACGTTTTAAGATCTTTTGCATTGATTTCGTGCTTGAGTATTGTCATTATGCATACATTTGACGTACGTATGCAGATATCTCTTTTGTGCAAATTTTTTTTAGCATTAGACACATGCGTGATCAATGTCTCCATGCTGTGTTCTAATGTGAATTATAAGACGATGTTTTTGTGCAAATGTCTTGTCGCACGTATTACATACGTAAGTGATCTCATTATGCCCTGAATCCATATGTTTTTTAAGATTAGCCTTACGTGCGAATATCTTGCCACATATTTCGCATGTAGGTGCCATACCATTATGAATCGCATCAATGTGAATCTTGAGATATCTTTTTCGTGTGAATGTCTTTTCACATATTTCGCAAGTAGGGGCCATACCATTATGCATCGCATCGATGTGAATTTTGAGATCTCCTTTTTGTGTGAATGTCTTTCTACATATATCACATGCATATCTAATACCATTATGTCCATCGATGTGAATCTTGAGTGCAGTTTTTGTTTGAAATTTCTTTCCGCATACTTCGCAAGTAGGTGCCATACCATTATGCATCGTATCGATGTGAATTTTGAGAGAACATTTTCGTGTGAATGTCTTTCCACATGTAATACACGCATGTTTAACACCATTATGTACTGCATCGATATGGATCTTGAGTTTATTCTTCGTTTGAAATTTCTTTCCGCATATTTCGCATGTTGGTGCCATACCATTATGCATCATATCGATGTGAATTTTGAGAGAACATTTTCGTGTGAATGTCTTTCCACATGTAATACACGTATGTTTGACATCTTTATGAACCGCATCGATGTGACGTTTCAGATTTCTTTTTTGTTTGAATGTCTTTTCACATATACCACACGGATGTTTAACACCATTATGTACTGAATCGATGTGGGTCTTGAGTGCAGCTTCAGTTAAGAATTTCTTCCCGCATACTTCGCAAGTAGGTGCCATACCATTATGCATCGCATCGATGTGAATTTTGAGATAAAATTTTTGTGGGAAAGACTTTCCACATACACCACACGCATGTTTAACACCATTATGTACTGAATCGATGTGGACCTTGAGATAATTTTTTCGTGCAAATTTTTTACCGCATATATTACATGGATATTTGGTACGATTGCGTGCCTTATCAGTTTGGGTTTTGCGTTGACTATTTTCAGCAAATGTTTTTTCATTTGCATCAAATGCATCACTGAGTTCACCATCCAAATTCAATTCCTCTTTTACTTCGTCGACCATTTCTTCTTTAATTTTCTTTTGAGTCTGATAATCGCAACTATTTTTCATATGCTGCAAATGATCTGGATAATCGTCCTCGATCTTTTTTATTAATAATAAGTTAATGTTAGGCTTTTCGTCCCTACATTCGAATTCTACTTCAACATCGTCAGGGCCATGAATCTAGAAAAATAATTTAAATTTAAGATTAGGGAAAATCGTTGTTTAAAATGTTAGCTATAAGCAGTTCTATATTAACACTTACTGAATTTTCTCGACAAGAACGCATAGATTCTTCAGTGTTAGCATCGTGTGCATTGCCAATTATTTCATAATCATCATTTGGTTCCTCCTTCACTCTGCAATATTCACATTGAAATGAAGTATAATACTAAAATTTTGTTAAAATATCATTCTCACGAAATAAAAATTACCTAATATCACAATTATATACACCATTGAAATCCATGTCTTTCATTTGGGATTTGATCAACGACTAATTGCTCTATAATAATGTTACACGTTGAACATGGTAACTCGATTGTAACAATATTTACAATTCGTGAAATGAAAGTTTGAGAAAATTTATGTCAACATAGCCACTCTAAACTTACTATACATATTTATTAGAGAAATCATACCATTGATCGCCGGCGTAATAAACAATTAGCAATTTTCTTTGAATTTAATTACAAAAAAATTATAAATAGAAATAAGTAATAACTTTACGCTTCTCGGAGAGAGCTGATGATGGCCTATAGTACGATAAACGTGAGAGGATCGTGACGGGACCACGTGCGATATTTATATCGTCGTGACGCATGAAATTATCTTCGATGTATACCGAGGTTACATACAGACCCAAGGACTGACGAAACGATGACGAATTGCGTAGCGTAAATATGTATACTTGTATCAGGCGAGGGTAGTGAAGTTAAACGACATATTGGTAGTAGCGATCTCGAGCAATTTTTCATTTCACATTTATCGAAGTAAATAATTTGTCAACACTACAGCGGCTTATACGACTTATACAGTTATACAATTAATTTTATTTTGCCCCTTGCGTATTTTAAAGATAAAGGTACTCGCCACCTAGTGGTAAAGGCTTGAGGTGATGTTATCGTATTTAAAATTGGCCGAAAACTGGTGTAGATTATTTTAAACAATAAAATTGTCATGTTTAAGTCATTTTAAATGCGTTCAATATTTGTCATATAATCGTAACAGTATATCATCTAAAATTAAGACAATGAATGCTTATGTATTTTCAAACTTATTTGAATACTTATTTTCTAGTCACCACTTCGTTATTAATATTGAACATTTTTCCTAGGGTCGACAACCTCGATAGAATAGAATCGAAACCCTTAACCGAAATTGCACGCCGAGAATTTCTCCAAAATTTCAAACGAAGTGGTTTCCTTCAAAACGAATATGAAAAAAAAAGGCCACGAAAATGTTACTGCGCCGTGTATAGGGCAGAGCGAGGTATTCTTCATTGTGAGAAAAGAGCCCACTAATTGGAAGCGATTCCATTTTTCCCCGTGTTGTAGCTGCTGCTGCTGCTGCTGCTCTTCACGCCAAGCTCCGCCGACAATTGCCACACACACACGAACAGAGGAGGAAATTCAACGCACGTGACAGAAAGAGAAAGAGAATAAGAGAGAGAGAGAGAGAGAACGAAACTCAGCCAGCAAACAGCGGCAGCAGCAGCAATATAGCGGCATTGAACGCGAATCGCAGAGAGGCGAGAGCTTCAATGGAGCCGAGGTGAAGAAAAATCGTGCCTGCTGCTGTTAGCTCCGTTGTGCGGGCGTATACGCGAGTTATGGGTGCGAGAAAGGGCCAGTGTGGCGCGGTACATATACATATACACAAAGCCCGGCAGTACAGACAATCTCTGCTTTTTCCGTATATATATGTGTGTAGCGGGTGTTACCTGGACAACGAGCTGCTCGCTCGTATAACGCACGGCAGCAGCAGCGGCGCAGCCTCCTTATTCTCTCTTTCTGTCTCTTTTGTATAAAGAACAATCCGAGCAATGGATTGAGCTCGTGCGAGAAGTCAGCCCCAAGCTCTTGGTAACGATGAATCATTAAAAATGCGACCTGTCATCTTGTTGTTGTTGTTGTTGTCGTTAATTATTATTAGTCTCAACGCCACCCGTTGCGCGTTGCATAATATAAGCGCATAACTAATGTCCCGAGTCTCGGACAGTCATCGCCTGCACGCGCGTGCCAAAAAGCTCGCGGCTTATTTCGGCATCAGCCTAATTATCTTGCGAATTGCCGCTTGAAAGCAGCCGCTAATCTTCGCGGCTCTAAAAATTACACTAGGATTAACATTTTCTCAAAAGCCTGTACCTACCTGCTATGAATGCATCTCTAAGATTTGTGATTTTTTGTTCATTTACGCTCACAAGCTGCATATACTTATGATGGAGTAATTCAATAAATGGAGTTCTTCAAGAATGCTTGAAATCATGTGAATTAAAAAAATTGTATAAATGTTGTTCACTCTCATGTCAGTTTATTTCATTGTTATATTCAGACTTTTGTTCAAAATTTGTTGTTAAGAATTGATACTATTACTCAAAGGATTGAAAATATATTCTAAGAATAATAAATGTGAGAATTGTAATATATGGATAAACCAATCCTGAATAAATATCTATCATATCCCCCCCCCCCCCCCCNCCCCCCCCCCATTACAAATTAGTTTTATTATGGTTAAAAATGAGAAATTCACTGAGGCTTTCGCATATCATATTTCGTTGCAAATCTGCGCTCTTGCGACCTTCATGGACTGTTTTCTGGTGTTTGAGTAAATGCACTTTTTGTCCAAATTTTTTCTGGCACTTGTCGCAAGCAAAATCTTTGCGACGATCGTGTACTGTCTTTTGGTGACAGAGTAAACTCGATTTTTGTGTAAATTTCTTCTCGCAATTGTTGCAGGCATAATCTTTGCGACGATCGTGTACTGTCTTTTGGTGACAGAGTAAACTCGATTTTTGTGTAAATTTCTTCTTACACTGGTCACATGCATAATCTTTCTGACCATCATGTATTGTCTTATGGTGGATTAGCAAATTCTCTTTACGTCGAAATTTCTTGTCACACCTGCCGCACGCAAAATCTTTACGACCTTCGTGTTTTGCCTTTTGGTGAATTAACAAATGCGATTTGTGTCCAAATTTTTGTTCGCACTTGTCGCATGCATAATCTCTATGACCATCGTGGACTGTCCTGTGGTGCTTTAACAAATCCGAATTTCGTCCGAATTTTCTTCCGCACTCGTCACATGCGAAATCTTTTCGACCGTCATGCACTGCCTTTTGGTGTCTGAGCAAATTCGGTTTTCGTCCAAATTTCTTCTCGCACTTGTCACAGGCGTAGTCTTTGCGACCATCGTGTACTGTCTTTTGGTGGATTAACAAATGCGATTTGTGTCCAAATTTTTGTTCGCACTTGTCGCATGCATAATCTCTATGACCATCGTGTATCGTCTTCTGGTGAAAAATGAAATGAACTTTTCGTCCAAATTTCTTCTCACACTTGTCGCATGCAAAATCTTTCCGACCTTCGTGTATTATCTTTTGGTGGGAAAGCAAACCCTGTTTTTGTGTAAATTTTTTCTCACATTTGTTACAAGCGTAATCTTTGCGACCTTCGTGTAATGTCTTTCGGTGGAAGAGTAAATTTGGTTTTTGTCCATATTTCTCTTCGCACTTGTCACGTTCGATATCTTTGAGATCCTCCTCGCGTTCACAATCTTCTTGTACTTCGTTAATTGTGTCTTCGTGCCTATTCATACTTGATTTCTTCGTTAAAATATTTTCAACCAGTTTTAGTGAAAATCACTTGCTGCAATCGATACGATATTTCGCTCTATTGTTCGCTGTTCAGCTTCGAAGCATACACTGGTCTACGATCTACGTAGAATGTAAACATACAAGTGAGGTTATTTAAATTATATAAGTGTGTCAAACGTGAATTAAGTAGCCGATTTCTTTACCTTTGACTGAGCATCTTATAGGACACACCATGCAGTGAGAGAGAAACAGTTCGGATTCTATTTAAAGAATTATGTAAAAACATATTACCGAATTTTCGTCTTAGAAATAGAAATGAAAAGTTATCGGCATCAAAGATGGAACAGATCTATAAAACTTTCATTTTAATATTGACTTGCGCATCGTGTGACCAGCGCGTAAAATATGTCTATAATTATTATGCGAGTAGTTTTGAAAACGACTCGTTGTAATTATTATACTGGCGCATGGATTAATGTAATAGTCGAAGATTGATTCTTTGTGCTTAATAGAGAGCTGGCTCCCAAATATGAGTTCTTTTACAAAAATATGTGATCAGGCATGGCTGATATAATTTTTTTTAAATAATTTTCTCATCTCTCGATAATTCAAAGGTTATCTATTCTCTATCAGCTCGGACACACATATATATCATGTACGTACAGGTACTAGAGAATATTTTTCCATTTGAATTACCGTCTTTCGAAAAGGCTCGCAAGCTGGAAGCGGCGGCGTATAATAAATATGCACGAGTGAAGATGATCTGTGCACGATATACACGCGTGAGCTTGCACGTAAATTCGAGAGAAACTCTTTTGGAAAAACGATCAATCGAGTAGCGAGGCAAAAAAAAAGGCTGGAAAAAGCAGTTAGACCTAGGCTAGGGCCAATAAAAGTATAAGCGAGGACCGATCACATGATTGCGCAAAACTGGCAAACTCTTTGATAGCCATACACGTTAAGAGAGAGAGAGATTTATCGGAGTGTTCACCTTGGTTTATAAGCCCTCCTATACATACGGGACGCAGCACAAGTCTCTGTCTCTGTCCCTCTCTCTCTCTCTCTCTCTCTCTCTCTTGTGATGCGATCGTTTCTCCCCAAAAGAGAAAAGAAGAAAAGAGACAGAGAGCTGGGCTCTATCTCCCAGAGCTTTTCCAGAATCCGCGCGCGCCACACATAGAGCTTCGTATAAACGTGCGCATTACATATATATATCTATAGGACGGCCTTGAAAGCTTCGATCTCTCGAAGAGCTCGAGGCGTAATACGTTTGCCGCTATATACTGCGTTGGACGAGCTGCGGAGCACTGCGAGGCATTTATACGGTGGGCGGGAGACGCTTCAGTGATCTTTTCGTAGGTATTATATACGTGCGCGCAGCCCTGCGTCCGCTTTAGGTCCTCTCGCTCTCTGTCGAGCTCTTTTTGCCGAAAATACACGTAGGCGAGCTCCGAGCTTTAGCTATATATATATACACGTAGGTAGAAGAGGCTGCGCTTGAATTTCCCTGCTCGTAGCCCTAGAAGTATAACAGTTACGTGTCGCTTCGGGCTGCTCCGCGAGGAGGATCGCTTATTATATATGTTATATACATCGGGCTCGGATCTCCATCAAAGTTCGTCTCCCGAGTTCTCCTATCAAACTTGCGACTTGTACGCCTTGTG